AAAAAAAAAAAAAAAAAAAAAAAAAAGCATTCAGAGTCAGAAAACAAGTAATTTGGAACATCTTGAGAATTACCCTGCAAACATAACACATTTAGTGAATATAAGGGCACCCCAGTACAAGCACTTCAACTACCAAAATTAAAGATGAACATGAAAAAAAATAGTTTATAACTTCGTTAATACTTGTCCTTTTAAAGGAATGCAATGAATACACACATATATCCAAATCAGTACTATGTATCACAATAAATTTATTAAAAAAAAGTACATTAGGCAAAGTTTTTCATATCGTACAAGCCTTTAAAGGCTAGCATAATTTTAATGCTGATTAGTGTGACAAAACATACCCTTCTTTTGTCATCTGCAATCACAGTCTTCTTATATGGTTCCTTCACCTGATTCCTCAGTTGGGAAACATGCTCTTCAACAGTCATGATCCTACATGCATCAAGATTGGCACAGATCTGAGACAAAACAGAGTATTATATACTTTCATTTTAACATTTAATGATGACATTTGAAGGTTAATGCTTTGTTTAACTATTTATTCTACATAAAAACTAAATTAAAGCAATATAGTATTTTTTTTCAAATATTTATTTTAAAATTAGTTTACTTTCTTCCTACAAAATAGTATGCAGGCCATATCAGCATGAGAAAGGCAAAGACTTAAACAAGAACTTGAAAAAAAATGAACAAGCTACTACCTAGGCTAAAAGTAATCCTTACACATTGGAAAAAAAATGTGCAGATTAGGCTGTAAAACAGCCTATGATAACTCAATCAAACAGAATAGTGAAACAGAATAAATGTAATACGAGGGAATAACTGCAGAATTAAGAGCTACACTTGAAAGCAGAATTTAATTTGAAAATGTCTTTTGGTGAAAGTGATGAAGAAACTTTCTGTGCTAACTTTTCTTAATGAAGTTTTATGAATATAAAACAAAGGAGGAAGTCTGACAGGCATCCTTTTTGACATTTCCACTAGTAGTTATATATTTGAGCTTTTACTCATTCAGCTTACATTTAATCATTAGGATTTCAAAGCAGATGGAAAGGAATTCTGATTTTCCCACTGCCAAAAAGCTATTTTCTGATAATATCTCACAATTCTGCCTACTTCAAAACATCCTAATAGCTTCTTTGAGGCCTCACCTATTCAATTTCATAGTCTGGTGCAATTTGCTAGTCGAAAGTTTTTCCTGCAGTACTGGACTAAACTATGTTTTGTATCACCAATATTTGCATCACCATTGGATTTTATGTAAAATACTTTGGGATTCATAGCTGTATGTGTAGTATAGAATTTAACCAATTAGCCCCTGCCTGTTGTTTATACAACTACACACTTCTCCCATCTATATCAGTATCTATTAACTGCTGGAAATAAACATATTTTAACGCTATCTGCACTTCAAACATAGTTTCTGTTTTTTAAGTATTCCGCTTAGAATTTCTGGATTTTTTTGGATAAACATTGTAGCTCAGCTTAACAGTTTTAGATATATATAAATATATATAGATATATGCAAAATCTTTAGAATTTAGGAATACTCAAGTCTATAGCAATTCAGCAACAGAAAAAAAAAACTCATCCTTTTGTGAAGTTATGGCCTCTGATCTTGAGATCTTTTTTCAAGTTTCAATATTTTTATTTCCCTATGCATGTAAGTAACCTTTATGCATACAAGAATTTCCATAAACTTGTAGCAGGCCATTCTACTGAATGACTATGAGCCAAATGTCACATAGGCATGAAAAAAATCAGATGATAAGTTTGGAGCCTAACACTAACTCTAATACAGGTTTTACTTGAATAAAACAGTATTTCTTTGGTGACTAGTACTTTTAAGTGCTATTTACTTTCAGAATATGTTCTACAGCTTTCATACTGGATGTTGCACCTCCTACACCAGGTGAGGCTGTAAGTCCCAGAATCTGAGGCTGTGGAATGAGAGAGTTGTTTTCTTTTGCCAGCTTCCTATTCTTCATCTTTTCTTTTAAGTAACGTCGCATTATATTGTTGTAGACACCTTCCTTTTGAGTGTGATGACATTCATCAATAATGATAAGAGAAAAATCTGGAAACAAAAAATGTAAATATTAAATGATTATTTTTCTTTCAGATGTTAGATTTGTGTAAATAAGTCTTCTTATACTGTTGAAGAAATCCATCCAGTCAATTTTTTTTGAGTCTTCCTGTGCTAGGAAACTTGCAGTACTAGAGAAAGGAGGAAAGAGAAGCATGTATATTTATGGACTATGGAATCCTTGTTGCACTCTGGATGTGTTTAGTTTTTTCACTTCATGTAGGATGGAAAGCTTTTTCATTTCTGCAGAATTTAATAGTGTAAAGAATTTCAGACAGATATTTTTAATAACCAGTGGTACAAACATATCGTAGTTTACTCAGTCATATCTTTCATCATCGTTTCTATAACTGCATCTAGCAAAATACATGCCATTTTTCTGGGAGAACATGTAACACATTAGAAGCCACTCTGACATGGCTCAACATTTTTCATGTTGAAAAGTTTGTCTTGATCAAAATATGCTTTTTTTTATAGCAAACCAGAAAGTTCCTCCCTATCCCTGACCAATTAGAGGGTTTTATATTACTTTATGATGTATAAGTGGAAGGAACAAACAAACGGTGAGGGCACTACCCATCATCTCTGTTTAGTCAGATCATATTTACAGTATGCATATGCAGTACTAGTACAATCAGAAAAGGAAAATTGAGATTTGGACTTGTTTTACATCTCTCAAACATAAAAAATCTTCTCCATCTATTTACATTTGCAGACAGTGGGATATATTTTAAGGCTTGAAAGACTCACAAACATTTCTCGGTTTCTCTAGCAGCAAAGTTGGTTTATGCAGTTTCCCCTTACCCCTAGCTGGCCAGTCATTCTCAGTGTTGTAATTCCCTGCTCTTTCAATCTGTCATAAAGCTGTTAGTGGAAGTGGCTAAAGTGGATCACTTGAATATTCTGGGTTATACTCTTTCCCACCTCTTCATTTTCTTTTCCTAAACCAGACAATTTCAGGGGTCTTGTTTACACATTAGCCTGCTTAAATTGCTGCCGTAATACAAATCAGTTCACAGCCTTTTTATTTTGGGAAAACAATTTTACATCTCATCTCATCTCTTTGCCCCAACTTCCTTTATCTGCTGATGGAGATTGTTAAAGTTAGCTACTTAGAGAGATACAGTGAGAAGTAATGCTATCTATGTAAGTAAAAGAATAAGAGCTTAAGGAATGTAACTTTTGTAACAGACTGGTTCCTATCTTGTATTCCATTATATTTCTCAAATTGATGACTACATTTGAATTTTAACCATTTTTAAATAACATATCCTCTCTACAACTTTTATGTGAAATACCTCTATGTTCACTTCTTAAGCAAGCCTGGAAACAGGAATCATTACAGCTGTATCTGCAAAAGATTTTGCTTAAGCTAGATAAAAGGGGGATCATAACCAATATTTAGTACAAATAAACTGCAAGAGTCTAATCTGGCTTGAAAGTTTTGCCTACTCATTGACCAAGGTCTATTTTTGATTCTCATAGTCCAGTTTGCATTTATAAAACTGGTCAGTGAAGAAGTTTTAACTATTGAATCCCACACATTTTTACTCTGCAGTTTTCCAGAGCAGTCATACTTTTAGTCCCTCTGTAAAAAATCCAGAGGGAAAAACTTGCCTGATAAGAGGACACCCTCTTCCTCTTCCTCAGCTGCATTTGACAGCGAGTTCTCCAGGATCTGCGCTGTGCTGATAATGACATCGTATTGCTTGATGACCTCAGGAAATGAGATTTTCAGCTGAGTATCACCACTTAAACCAATAACCTGATACCAGTGCTTCAAGAATGGCTGAAACTCCTTTCGTAAATGCTGTTCCACCAATGGTACCTAAAGAAGTTTCCATGTAATTTAAACCAGAGATTATATATGGTTAAAAATACATGCCTACTTGTCAGAGACACTGTTAGGTGAACATATATTCTCTATACAATGTAATTAGAAAAAAAAAAAAAAAGATAAAAAGTAAACACAACCTTATTTACTGCAAGGTATGACTGAACAAACAAAATGCCTCCAAATACTAAAAATCCCCAAGCCAATCCCCTTAAAAAGTGACTGCAGATCTACAAAAACTTTGCCCCCAAAACTTTGGCTTAACTGGGCCTTAGAAAGAACACACGATGCTCTGCTCCCTAACTGAGGTTATAACACGCTATCAATTTTATTCTTATAGGAAGATCTGAATATTTTTCTATCACTCAAATTTATATTTTAAAATTACAATAGAAAAAGGTTAATTTAGATGCCCTGAATGTAACTATAAACATTACAGTCATTACCAGAAAATCTGACAGAATATTCCTAGGTCTCTAATGCTCACTGGGTGGCCTTCATTACCAAATACAAACACACAGTGTGAAAAACAGATTTTGATTTCTTCAAATACTATTTTAGTTTTATTCATCCTAACAAGGAATCGTACTTTTTTCAATGATGTAGTTATTAGGCGACATTTTGATTCCAACTGGATTCAGATAAATTAAAATCATTCATGTTTGCATCAATATAAAGGAGATGACAGTCCAAAGGCATTTGCCATACTTTTATACATACCCGCAATCTGGACCACCTGAGAAACCTATTTGTATTCATTTTAAAAATTCTATATTAACAGTATGGGAGACTTGAAAAATATCCTTTTGTTTAACGGACCAACATACCTTATTAACAAGTACTATAACTTTTCCAGGCTCTGATGCTTTTCTCTTCCTATCCAAATGATCTTTGGTAATGTAAACAGCCACTCTAGTTTTACCACTGCCTGTAGGGAGACATATTATAATATTCTCCCCATTCAGTGCTGGTTTTGCAACTTCCATCTGGTAATCTCTCAGGATCAGTTCTGGCCCAGGTGAAGCTCTGCTCTCCTCTTCATCTTCATCTGACAGTATAGACAAACATAAATATCAAGTAGGAGGCATAAAAAATTCAGAGTATTGAACAAATAGCAAAGAGAAAAACAACAATTTACTATGAAAAGTATCTTCTGAGTAAAGGGAAACGGGGCAATACTAGTTAGGCAATGCTGTTCTGTGGAGTTCTGCAACTCCAGATCAGTACTGCTAACATACAGCGACCTACCATGGTAGGAAGAGTAAGCCACAGTAAGTCTTTGCCTACCTTTTGTTGTCATGTGTATTATTATGTGTAAACTTAAATGACACAGTTCAGTAACACTGGGAGTCACAAAGGTTGGGTTTGGAGTCACAGTATTTATGATCTAACCAATCTTACATGGCCTTCTCTTTCATTGGTACTGAAATTTATTTGGTTGCAAGTGTGCTACCTTCTTAAATATTCCACAGAGGAAGAAAAAAAGATGGAGGCACAGAAATAAAAGGAGATAGGGACCATTTAAAAATTGATGAAGGGAGTTATGAAGTTCAAGTAGATAAGAAAATTCAATTGCCCATACAAGACAGAGCTCACCCTGCTGAATGTACGATACCCATTCATGGCAGACTTTGCTGCTCATGCATAATGCAGCCTGAGCTGCTCACTAAAAAGCCATTTGCATTGGCCACCTGAAGGCCAAAACCTTCCATCTATCATTTAAAATGCAATGGCAGGGAGTTCAGATCCAGTGCCTGCAGGTGAAGCAGGTAACATTCAGATGTTAAACGTGCTGATAAATGATGCCATTATTTCAAGCAGCGAGAAAAGAACATCAGGTTTCTGAATTTCAGTGTTTGTAGGAAGCCAGAAAGTATATACCAGAATGTAACAAAAATTGACTTCATTTTTCCCCTTCTACAGATATGTTTAAATTCACCTCAAAACATTAACTGTCAGCAATGACAATGAGAGACAAATTCTACCAGACTAAGAAGTAAAAAAACCTATGATCTTACTTCCTGGTGAGATCATTAAATGAAGAATCATGGGGTTTTATTAGCACTGATACATTATACACAAAATAAGTGTATTTTTCTAGTATCCCTTATTCCATTAAATAAAACTAAACTAACAGAAAGTAATGAACCTTGAGAAAATACTGCTGATGGAAACATCCGAATGCCATTCTTAAGTGTTTTTTGCTTGTTTTGCCTTTTAGTGTGGGTGTAATACTACCTGGAACACAGGGAAAAATCACGGCAGAGAGTACCTGCCCTTACTTATCTGACTTCTACTACTCTCTTCTGAGGAAGAACATTGTTTGCTTTCTGCTTGACTAAATCCAATAGTTCAATCATACTGAAACTAGCACTTTATCATCCGTTTGCTTAAATCTTAGTATCTTAACATCCTCAACTAACTGTCCAGTCCTAAAAAATATTTAACTTTACTCTCCCCTAGTTTCCTTGACCCCTGTTTAGATAAAGGCTAATACAGGAATCTTTACTCAGGATATGATTCCATTAAATAATTTTCATAATGCATGATATTACTTCAGGAAAGTCATCTGCTTCTCTACAAAATTCATATGAAATTTGATAGGCTGCTCCAGACTAAGAAAATCATGAGAATTATTCTTCTATTATTCTAATTCCAATTTCTTTTTCTGTAAATGTAAAATAATCTCTGTTCAAAAAAAAAAGACTAAATCCATATATTTCTGTGCATTAGAATCCAAATCATGTGAGCGCATTAAGCTACTACCTATACATATATTTAATAAACAGCCTTACTGCAAAATTTGAAATCAACATCCATAAATTTCACAACATTTACCTGTACCTCCTTCATCGCTATTCTAATACTTGCTCTCACTGACAATAAAAAGCATGAACGTTTTTAAAACATGATTTAACTTACTGTTTTTAAAACCCATGTGTAAGCAGAACATATTGCAAGTAATCATAAAAAAACCCTACTCTGCAGCACTCATGTAACTTTAGTGACTTATCTTTTCTATGGAACTTCAGTACTGTTGCTTAATGGGAGTTTTTTCAATGACCTTAATTATCAGGCTGTTATGTATTTGTGTTACCAGGTATCTGCAGTCTATACCAGTCTGACCAACCGACTCACTGTGACTATACACAGAATAGAGAAGTTCCTCTGCCCTCACATCTCATGCGACTCAGTGAGGAAGTGATCTTAACAAGACTGGTAAGTCACTTTGGGTGTCACAGAAGTGACAAGCACATTCCTCAGAGCCAACAATGTCTATAGCAAAACACTATCTGCAGGAAGGCAATTTAGATTCAAGATATTCTGAATTTTCTGTGTATTTGCAAAATGCATACACTTTAATATCAAACAAGACTGAAACTACTTTAAACCTTTTATCACTACATTGGCTCTACCGATCAAATAACCATATTAGCAGAGCTGGACTATGTGGTACTCAGATTGTGCCTAGCCCCAACACGAGACACAGTCCTAGAACAAACTTTATTAAGGCTAGATTCCAAAAGGAAATTTCTCTCCCTTGAATTTTGTGTAGTCAAATTGAATTCTGTGTAGTCAAACACTGAGCATGCTTAAACTCTCCACGGTAAACAGCTGAAAGTAGTTTGGCCTGAGGTCCAAGATTGAGAAGAGACAAAAGGGCAGGAAAAAATCTGTGATATCACTTAGACCAACAGTATTTGCTTGGGCCTAAATGTATCTATAATACAAAATAAAAGAGTTATTGTGTGAACCTGATCTGCTCTTCAGTTTAACACAACATTTTGTTTAAGTTAGGGATGTCAAAAAAAAAGATTTGCAAATGTCTTCAGACAGTGTTTCCAATTGATTAGGTTGCTGAACGCTTTCACATAGAGTACTAATAAATTCCTTAAGCCCCAAATGGATCTTCATAGGATTCTGCAAGTACCTTAGAAATACTTCTCCTCATTCTCAGATGCCTCTAAAGCACGGCCTATTCCCTCTCACTTCCCCTAGCAGGGGGTCAGGTACAGTCCAGCTCCTCTCTGAAAGGAGAAGCAGCCCTCGTAACACTGCAGTACTATGAATCTTCAGGGGATTGGACTAAATGACCACTTGAAGTCCCTTCTAACCTATATGATTATGTCATTCTGTGTCACTGATCCTTTGTAGGATGGTAATGTCTGGAGACCTATTCAGAGGATCCCAATGAATCAAGTCTTTTGCAGATGAGAGTTAAGTCCAGACTTACAAAAATGGCTTCTATTTTCCAATGAAGTAAGGGAAGTCTTGCACTTAAGAACTGCTGCTGGAGTTCAGAGGAAAATCTGTGATTTTTGTTCTTGCTTACCCTTGCAGAGCATATTTTGCAATTACTAAGTAAGAGAAGGGAAATGTACCCGAATCACTGGTTGTGCTGCTGCTCTGCCCCAGGTTTTCATTCACATTATTGATGCTTCCATCTCCTACAGGGACATCAGACTCTGAATGAAACACACAAACAAACAGAAACAGAAGACAACAGCATATATTAAAAAACATATCCAAATATAGCATAAATAGTTTTCTATACAAATAGAAAAAACCTAGATCTCTCTTTCCCTCTAAATAATTGCAAGTCTAATCCAAGTTGGGCAGCTTGCAGCCAGAGCCTGTTCCTGATGCAGCATTACATATTCTGCATTATTTCACCATGTTCTTTTACTATGTCAAGGAGTGTGAGCAGAAGGGAGGCAACTGTTCTGTACTACCTGCTATTATTACCAGCAAATTCATTTTTGAACCACAGTTGTGAGCCATCAGGCAAAAGCAATGCTGATAGGTGCTGGTAGCTTCAGCTTGATATCAGAAATAAGAAATGGCTGTAATTACAGTCCAAAAATAGGGAAAATGAGGGAAACGCAACCTGTCTTTAACTAGCTTTAATTACACCCAGGCATATATATATACACGTATATATCTTTAGGCAGTAATTACAGCTGTTTTAGTCCTCGGCCTCAGCCTGGGAGGGAAAAAGTTGCTGCTGATTCATAGGCTGAATGAAGAAAGATAAGTCAGAGGGTCTTTTAAAGAATTTGAGAAATACTCCACAGTGGAATGTTTTACACATGCTTTAAAGAGAGCCAGGTCCAGGCCTGACTTTTTTTCTTAGATAAAGATAAAACTGTGAACAATGTAATTTATTCTCTTACTGAAGAAAAATTAAAAATCTAAAACAGAGCAGTGCAAAGGCAGTTTCATGATTCAGTGTGGTCACACTGACTATGACCACCTGCACGATTCTTTCCAACCCTTTTTTTCTGCATATTTTCAGAAATGGATGGAAAGTCAAAAAAAAAAAAGGAAAGTGTGCAGTTCCATTGGATACATAGTGCTGTATGCATATTATAGGTAAATACTCTCCTTAACTCCCTTCAAGCCATTTAATCTATCTGTAATAGATTAAAATCAACATCAGAACTGTTGCTTTTTAAAAACAGGTTTCTAAAAAGTAGTAAGTGACAATTCCCAGGTAAATAAAAACACAAAAGGATCATTACATCTTTCAAGAGTTTTGCCAGTAAAAGCATAAACTGACGCTCATATTACACCCATGAGAAGACTTGGCTACAACCACGCAAATTCAGCATGTTGCAGATATTCCAATGTTAAGCTCTCCCTCTGCTGGACAGTAAATATGCTACACTATTTATTTATTTATTTTTCCTATCCCAACAATGCAATTTATATAGCCAAATTTTCAAAAGAAATCCTCAGATATTTTCATACCTGAAGAGACATAGCATTCTACTGGAAAATCTCTGCTCCAAAGAGACTCACCCTGTTCTGTGTGTCAGCTTATTTGTAGTATTCCCCATCAGAGCTCATACTGCTTATAGGAGAAAAACAATCAAAATAATACCATTTACCCCCCATTTACCCCTTCTAGCTCACCTGGGGCCTATGAAGCTTTTCCATGGCTTTTCCAGTGAATATCTCATTGTTGTCCATAGCCATATAACATACTGCCCTCAACAAATAATTCAAAGAGCTAAGCACACACTACCAATTGAAGTTCAGATCTAAAGATAACTTAAAATCACGTGGCTTTGCGAATGGCACATTCATGATTTCATGTGCTGCAATATTTTGATAAGTGGGACTGAATTAAGCCATCTGCAGTCAGAAGCTTTGACTGATGTCCTTGGAAGATGAATGGTTCAACACTGTGAACTCACAAACAAGTGGGACTGGGACAACTTAAACTAAATTCTACACCAAGCTACCTTAGCCGCTACTACAAGTTAGAGATTTGCTAACTTTTTTCTATTTGCTGGCATAATCAGTAATGTTATAGGACGTGTTATGATGGGAAGGGTTATTTAAAGGTTTCAAGCACCTACATTAGAAACCTAATCTCCTTCGTATCAATGCAATCAAGAGAAAAACACTTAAAAAATTACAGGGGAAAATTATAATTTATATAAATTGGACTCCTGATAGACTTTATCTAGCATATATTATATACATACATGCTACAACATATATATACTCTGCACATATATTAATTTTTATATATATATATATAGCATAATACGTTGTCCTGAGACACCATTGTCCTGACATCAAAAGAAAACATTACCAATTGTAACATGTTCAAAGACCTATGACAAGACACTAAGTAACGTTAGTGGGAATTCCAGGTGTGAAAATGACACTGACATCCCATTTTCACTTTCAAGTAATCCAGGTTGATAAGAAGGTGGAAATGAAGGTGGAAATAAATTAAAAGTCTATGCACTTATTATGTGATCTCCGATCTAAAATGACCTGCTGAAAGATATGAATGCAGCAGTGAGTGTGCTGCATGCTGCATTCTGGAATAACTTGAAAAGCAAAAAAAAGAAAAAAAAAAAAAAAAGTAAACCTTTCAAAAACTGTTAAGATAAAAAGGTTAATGCTATAAATTATTTTCACCAATTTCAGCAGTCTTCCCTTCCCATACTATTTGCACAAAGTAACACAGTGCTGTCCATAGAGACATTTTCCAGTCACTTTGCACTGACAATTTAATGGCAATAACCTATAGCGAATGGAATGCAAAGAACGTGGATCACTGTGCTTTTTAGTAACTCCTCCTTTTCTGACCATAGAATAAATTTTGAATCTAGTTTCAACAACTGTTTTTCTAATTGGAAGCATCAGATGCTACATTTAAGGTATTATTGAAAGCTCCATTTAATAATAAAAAAAAAATGTCGAGTGGTATCACCTTACATTTACCATGGGCAAATAATCTAACATTCATTTTCAGATTGTACAGGAACCAGCAGGGGGCAAAATACTCTTGAAAATCATGTCTCCATTTATAATGGGAAGAAAGGATAGAAATAGGGTACTTGAACTTCTTTTCTATGCGTAATTTTCTCACAGTATAATTACCTGTTTCACTCAGCTCCATTTTACGAAACAGGTCTTGACAAATAGAACTCCTACTTACGTAAAGTGTGATTTATATAGGTAACTCAGAAATTTTACTTAAATACTCCATTTCCGATCTTTGCAAACTCGCTGCTTTTATGTTGTTGTGTGTTTCTTTTTTTAATCTTTTTTTTGTATGTTCAGGTTATTTCTACTTTTCTCTTAGGCTAAACCATCTAATTCTACTTTGTCCTTATGACTCTACTGCCTACCCTGTATCATTGTATATAAATACTTATAAGTGTATATAAACACCTTTAGGGAGGCAGTGAGGAGGATGGGGCAAGCCTCTTTTCAGTGGTGGCCAGCAACGGGACTAGAGGAAATGGCCACAAACTAAAGCATGAAAAATTCCACAGGAACTTAAAAAAAAATTCTTAACAGCATGATAGAGGTCGGCAGAGCACTGGAACAGGTTGCCAAGAGAGACTGTGGAGTCTCCTTCTCTAGAGATCTCTAGAATCTGCTTGGACGCCATCCTGTGCCATGTGCTTTAGGTGACTCTGTGTGTGCAGGGGGGGTTGGATGAGATGATCTCTAAAGGTCCTTTCCAACCTTAAGGATTCTATGATTCTACTGCTTTTATACTTTGTCCCTGACTCACTCTGCCCCATCTATCCCAATAAATGAGTCGGGGAGGTTTTAGATGCAGGGTATATCACAGTAATCCCAAGGGATTTCAAGTGATTTGTCTGCTCCCCTCCGCCTAAATACATGGAGGGAAGGTGAGAATGCACTGCAAGCATGAGAATGCACTGCACCTCACACGTATATAAAGATATTCAATGCTTCCAAGAAAACAAGATTTGTGTTTTCCAGTCATTCCCTTCTCAACAGTGTTTCCATTTTTTTGAACAATATTGGAGCTAATGAGAAACAAGCTCTCAGGAACTTTCACTGAATTGCTTCCAGTTACTAAAATCTTCATGGTACCAAGCATTATTGGACGTACCTGAAACTGCAGAATTCTCTCCAAAAGAGCTTTCCAAAACACTGCTCTCACTGGCTGAATTATCATTCACATTTTCTTGCTGTTTGAAATCTTCCACTGCAGCATCTCCTGGTTGCCTTGTGACTTCTACTTCTTCATTTGTTCTGTTATTGATCCCATTTTCTCTATTTTCTACTCCTGGTAAATAAACACAAATGCATTATAAAATGCTTTCTTTTAGTGTACAGCACAGAAAACACAGAACTAACCTGAATTCATCATATATGCTCAAGTGAGGACATAATGACATGATGTACAATCTTGGTCTTTGATTTAAACATCACAGTTTGGATCAATGTTCTTGTAAATGTTTATAAATTAAAGTTGTTTGTCATTAATCTAATATTTGCTGTCACTGTGAAGATGTGAAAGTTGAAATAATGCACTAAATCATGCGTTGTATCTTAACTCCATCAGTCCTGTAAGTTCATAAGGGCAGAGCAGGGCTTTGTCTTAGGCTTTATTATTTGCCCATCTAATACAAAATTTGTGCTTTTTGAAAATGCTCTCCCTCCTTCCATTGCTTTGTCTAATTTCTAATATAGATATATATAAATGTGTAGTCTACTTCTGTTCTGAAGTTATTTTTATTAGAGGCATATAAAACCAGACTTCATTAGAGGCATATAAAACTAGACATAGTAGATATGCTCTACGTAATTTGTTCAACAAATTATAAATACTTCATAAAACTTGGGAAAATGGCATTCAGAGTTTTTCGAATTTGGATTCAACTACTGTACAATTAGCAACTAAATTTGAAGTAATTAATAGATTTTTTAATGGATGAATCAAGATTAGTTTTCTACAAAGCTCACACTATGTGTATGAGTCTGGCAATGACAACTTAATTTACTGTAACATCACTAGGGATCAAACTTGAGTTACAATACGGACCTACACTCTCCTCCTCACAACATACTCAATTAACCTCTTCTCAGTGTTTCCTGTCCTTGTATCATTGGACATTGCAATGATCTGTACATGTACAGGACTGTGTACCTACATTCTGGTAAGACTAACATGATTTACATTTTACATTTTAATCTGTACTATTCCTCTAAGGACTGCATTACCAAAGAATACAGGGAAGTCTCTGAATAAATATGTATGTTCAGCATTACGTCAAACAAATGAATTAAACTACTTAAGTTTTATCTGGTCTGCACTGCACAGATGATTCCAAAATCCAAATGTGGCTGCTGCTTATGCACGTGTGCCTGAAGAATCTGCTTGTTTCATGTGGAAGGGACACTTTCCCGCGCTTCTGATGCCAGTCTGAATGCAGAGTTCCACATGTAGTAACTAAAATTACACGGACATGGATGCCAAAAAGACATAGCTTTGATGAGCTTCTCAATCAAGCAAGAAGGACGAAGATACAAAATGGAACATCTGGTAAAAAACCTTAAGTCCCCAGAAATCTTAAAAGACATATGCTAAATAAGCATTTGGGGGCTGCTTGTGTCTTTCAAGTTTTAGAATCTAGGGAAGCAGCAGGATAATTTTATAACATAACAATCACTGTACAGCACCAAAAAGTACTAGCCAAAATTCAGTAGCTCTTTTACTTTCTTTTCAGTTCTATACATCATATGTCAATTATTCTATTATAATCATTTTTATACAGTGTTTCTAGGGACCTGTGACTATCTTATCCCATTATATGTATTTGTATTATTAAGGAAACATTAATCCTGAAGCTGAAGGAGAAATCTTGAAGAGGTTTACGTTTGTTCAAAATAATATTCAGAATATTTTAATTAATGATCAGAATATAATATTGAAAACAATTAGGTAACAAAGATAAGCATGTAATATGTATAGTGAGAATCCAGTACTATTTCCTCAGTCACAGTATTAGGAAAAAAATAAGTCATTAGTACTAGTGAAATAAGATTATTACCTGCTGTGTTTCCACTTAACTCATCTGCAAGGTCTTCATGTCGAGTTTCACGCAAGGCTCTCAAAAAGGGGGAGAACCAGTCCTTCTTCTGAACTATTCTTCTTAGCAGCTCCCTTGCACCTTCTCTATTCCCACGATTTTCAGCTGCAGTCTGGATCTGGTGAAAATAAAAACAACTTTGAGATACAGCTTTGTAATGATTCAGATAGTTACTAATAAGAGTATAAATATATGAAAACACTTCTCTGCCACCATTTAGGACATTGGTAAGGGTAGAAACATGATGTGACCCTGCCAGTAGTTTTACTCATCAGAAGTTTAATGTATTTTTGTCCAACCTCATGTTTATCACATTTAATTTCAGGTAAGATGCCTAAAACTTGGGATCTGCAATTTGAGAGAGAACAATGAACATAATGAACAACATACTAAACAGTGAGTATAATAACCATTTATTATTGTTATGAAATAATAGCCAGTTTATAATGATTTAGCAAATAGCCAACCATTACTAAATACATACTGAATTCATGCAGCTCATCAGACTGCAGGCTCAGTCTGATGCAGCAGCATACATGGAAATGGAACATTTTTCTTCTTGCACACTGACTTCATCATCACACTTACCACTTGAAGGTACTAAGGTACCCACTAAGCCTCTTCTAGAAGAGATATTGCCCTGAAAGCTGCTATGGAAAAGCATCACAAGGCCATCTTGAGCAGAATTAGACATGCCACCTCCCAAGGGAAGCAAAGAGATTGCCACAAAGCAAAGCAGCCTGGAGCAGGTGTTCAACCTGCGTGGTCAACCACCTCCATGATTCAGAAACATCCACCCTGATATGCAAGCAAAGGGGTTGGTTTGGCTGAACAGGGCTTAAAAGCCAAAATGAAGTGAATGGGAAATGGAAGTAGGATAAGGTAACCAAAAGAAGAAAATATAGAAGCACTGCTCAGGTATGCAGGGATGGCATTAAGGTCAAAACACTGGTGGAGTTTGAACAGGCAAGGATGTGAAGGCAAATAAAAAGCTTCAACACCAGCAGCACCAAAAGATGCTTGGAGAACATGTGGGAATATTCAGTAACGGGGCAGGTCACCTAGGGGCAAAGCCCCTGCCTCTGCCAGCTGCCTTATCCTGCTGACTGACTCCTGGCTCTCCTTGCCCTGGGGAGCATCAGGCCCCTGCTGCTCCCCAAGCCCCGACCTGGTGAACTGAGGCATATGGCTGTTGTTTAGCTCGGGAAGCATCAAACCACCTAAGAAGGTGAGGCAAAAACTCTGGGTGCAAATATGTAACCCTATTAGCATGCCATTTTCCCTTGGCCCTATGGCAGCTCTTACTGTCATTTGCTCTTGTAACACTAAGTTTCACAATACCCATTTCTTTTTGTTTTATTTGTTTCCAAGTTTTACATCAGTCTAGCCGTATCCTTCTTGGTCACATGGAGCAAACACTGGCAAATGTTTTCATACAGCAATGCTTATTCTTCTTGACAAAGTGGCTTTTCTTCTCAGCTTCCCTGTCCACTATCCACTTTTATATTCTTTTGTGAACCTCCAGCACAAGAAGACAGTGAAAGGGAGGCAGGTCTTGCTTAATTTTTACTACCCTGAGGTATGACTCAGGGGCCAGAAGACACCTTATGGTCTTCCTGGGCTGGGCTTGGTAGCAAAGTGATTAGTATCATCAAGAAGCACTGAGCAGGTTCCTTCCACTGAGGTGCTGCTGGTCTACACTGGCCCTCTGTTCAAGGTAACTTCTTCCCCTGGCTCTTAGCTGACATTCATCCTCCAGGCCCCCCACCAAAGAGTTTTCCATGGCATATTTAAAGAGCCCTGTTTCTCAGTTCCCCAGAGTCTGGGCTCTCGGCCTCCTTCATCACCCACCCTTCATTCCCGTGCTTACACCACCATTTACTGCAGCCGCTTGCTGCTGTGGGCGGCTGGTGTCCGCCGACACCTCCCAGGGCCACCTACCCGCTCCAGGTCCTCCTCGTGGAAGATGCGGAGCTGCAGGCACTTCTCGGCCACCTGCACGGCGCGCATGTTATCCACGAGCGCGCGGTGGAGCAGCTGCACGAGCTGCACGCACAGGTCGTGCTGGGCCTCCTCGCCGGGCGAGGGCAGCTGGCTCAGGCTGGGGTGCAGGTAGCTGGCGGCCAGGTGGCAGCCACCGCGCTCCAGCGCCTGCAGGAACTCGGGGAAGAGGCGGCGGGGCCTGCGCTCCAGGGCGCGCAGCAGCAGCTCGGCCGCCTCCCCCTCGCCGCGCTGCAGCGCCGCCGCCTCCACGCGCTCGCGCTCCTCGGCGCTCAGCGAGGGCAGGCAGTCGAGCACGGGCTGCACGCGGATGTTACGCCTCAGGCGCGCCCTGAAGCACGACACGAGGTAGAGGAAGGCCTCGGCGCGGCTCTCCTCCGACATGGCGCCCCGCAACTTGGCCCGCGCCTCCTCCCCTTGCGCTCGTGCCTGCCGCGTCGCGGTGTCACCGGCAGCGCCGCCAGCGCCCGCTTTTAGGCGTCCCCGCCCGGCGCTTTCGGTTTCCTTTCCGCGGCGGCGACGGGTCGGGCCGAGAGAGGCGGCTCCCTGCGGGAAACTGGAAGGGAAACTCCGACGGAGGCGGCGGTCCGTGAGCCGCCTTGCAGCTGCCAGCGCCGCCCGGCCCGTGCCGTCCGAGCCCGTTCTTCACGACATGGGAGCCCTTCTCCAGAGCTGCCTCTGAGCAGCCTAGGGGATGGCCAAGGTGGCAGCAATAGTAACATACCATGGATGGTCTGCGCCTGTCTGCCAGGTTTTTCCATTACTTTTTTTTTTTTTTTTTTTTTTTTTTTTTTTTTTTTTTTTTTGAATACCAGCCTCAAAAGGCTTTGCCCTGGTGTCCTCCCGGGTTTCTGGCGCACGTCTGTAGCTTGAGCCGCGTGAAGCTCCAGTGGGGCTGCAAGTCAACAGCAAGTGCCAGAAGTCCTCTCTCATGGACATTGAAAACTTTAAATCCTCCAACTATAAGAGGGTTTTAACTGAAATCAAGGGGGTTTATTTTAGAAGAGCAAGGGAAACAACAGACTTATGAAAGAAGCTGTGTGCTGCAGTGTGTGTATAGGACTGTACTGCAGACACGGTGACTAGCCTTGGCCTTGATTGATCAGAAAGAACAAGAGCAGCAGTTTGCTGTGGATCTGATCAGATTTTTTTGATATGGCCTTGCACCCAAAACTGAGCCTGAGGTTTTTAAGAATTTCCTGCCTTCTGATTTAAGACAGAAAAAAAAGCAAGCTTTAAATATATTGCCTGTTGTGATAAATCCTAATTATTAAACCTTTGAAACACAAACATTTCATATAATACCAGTTATTTTTATTGATTTTCAAAACCTAAGCACATATTATAATCACCCTCTTCCCCCACCCCCACAAAAATCTCAGTTGGTTTCTGAAGTAATTTGCCATTTCTCATAGTACACATATGATAAGAATCAAGACCACAGTATGAGCTGAATCAGAACAATACTTTTTGGTACCTAAATTGCCTAGATTCTTAAAATATTATGAATTCTAATTTATGTTTGAAAGGTGATGTTTGGAAAATTATGACGGTTGATATTAAGTAAAAGATTTTCTTTCCTGGAGTGCTATTGACAGCTGTAGTAAAAGCTCATGCATGACAGTATGCTGCAAGGAAAGCAAGAAACTAAACTTGTCCACCACATCATCACCTCCATAGTCCTAGGCTTTAAGCATCTTGATGTGTCCTGGTGGCCCATCTAGGATGTAGGACTCCCCCAGAGTTTCTCCTCTACCCTGTTCTCTGACGCTAGAAAAGCCAGGACCCGGTTACACCTCGAGGCCCATGAAGACCTCACTTTGCAAGGCCCAGATATACAGCCTGCGGTCTCTAGGTCCTTAATCCCTCATGCTCCAAGATGCTGATGCCCGGACTGGAGGGCAGCAGAACAAGTTTGCCTGCTCACACCCCTTGCTGTACAGTCATTTTAATGCCTGTTGACTGGTTCCTTTTTGGATGAATCACACAGTTAGGGTATGACTCAAGCCCTGGCAATGCCTCCCGTTAGGTCTGAAGAGTTTTTTTTTTTTTTTGTACTGGAAGTGATAAACACTGCTTTATAGATCTCATCACAGAGGAAAAGTTTGCTTTATAGATCTCATCACAGTGAATAGTGTTTGTAATTAATTTGCATTGATTTGGATTTTGATGCTGTCTAGATTTCATTCAGAGTAATACTAAAGAACAGATTCAGTTATAGAGGCATTACAGAAATACACACACCCTTGCTTATATAACCGTATTCTCATTGTTGGTTTTTGTTTCCTATCTTTTACGTCATTACAGTTTTACTTTCATTTTCTCCTTTTTTTTTTTCATAGGAGGTTTTCTTCTGGTCACTTGCAATCACTTTTTAATTACAGCTCTATGTACATTTCCTTTGGAAAACTTCTGAAAGAAGTTAAGAAGTTTCACCTTTTTTTTTTTCTTTCCCTTCCTTCACTTTGTCTCTAGCACATTATTTATTTGATGGATCTTTTCTGTCAAGCCCGAGGTCTGCAGGATATGGGTGCTGCCTGCACAGACAGGTTGGCAGTGTGTCCACCTTGTTTCCCACATTGACCTGTAGCTGTGGTCAATCAGGCCCTGTGTTATTTCAGTAGAAAAGCTTTACAAGCTGGAAGAGTTAATAGACATTAAAGGGAGGTTTGTAATTTGTTTGGATTTAGAGAAAGAAAATAACTCAGTGCGGCTTGGTGCTATTGCAGCTATTGCAAGGTTAACACACTGTGGCTGAGTTTGTACCCGTCCACCAAGGAAGCAACTACTCCCAGTTTCTTGCCCTCTTCTAGCTGAAGATGTTTGTTCCTCCTAACACAAGAGAACCTTCTTTGAGACCTTCTTCCCTTTCAGATTAGGCTGAAACCAGTCACGAGACTTGCGAGCAGCCACACGGCAGGGGAACAACACCACAAGGCTGTTCCATGGGCAACTCAGCAGAAGTCAGACCAGAAGAGCCAGTTCCCAGCACAGCACGGAAAGCTCCGGCCCGCTGCGTGTGAGCTGTGACATTTTTCTATTTCTGTACTGAAAACATCAGCATACACTAGTATTTAGCCAATAGATTTCATCTCTTCATAAATTTTTTTTGGAGAAACAGACGGTTTTTATTTTCACTTTTTGGAGGCTTTGGTATGTACTTAAGATTAATTTGTTAAGTAATCAATTAATGGTGTCTACGTTAAGGATATATTTTGTGCAGTATTCACTATGGCAGACTCCTTTCTTTGGGCCCAGAAAAAGACATGGTTAGTTGGTTACAAAACCACAGAAAAGTGACTTGGAAACACTGTAAGTAGTTATTGTAGCTGAACTTGAAAATATTTCATTTATCTTTGTATTTTGTAGATGGTTTGTGGAGTGATGTGTAGCTCCAGTTTACTTGGGTCTTGTCCTTTTCCTAGATTTCTTCCACAGAAGAGACAGCATGCAACAAGGGGTTGTGAATTTTGTATATGATGATGTAAGTATTAGCTATTATAGCTATCCATATGGATTTGATAAGGATTTGGTTTAAAAATCATGAATAATTGTGATTACTTGAAATCGGAGCTTCCATTAAACTTCTAGACTTTCTCAAGTAGAAATTCAGATAAAGGTATGGCCATCAATCGTGGTGGTGTGCATTTAACTTTAATACATGCTACTGTCTTCAAATAAAACATCTGTAAAGCTCATTTATCTTCATCGTATTCTCATGGTATAATTCCCTTAGCATCTTCACATTGAGAGTGTAATTCTTTTGGTTGATGTTGATTGCCCTCACCTCTTTTGCTGCCAGCACTGTTGAGACTAACACTGCTTGTTAGTGCTGTACCTATTTATTACAATGGGAGGTGATTGCAGGATCACCCCAGAAGCTGTCAGTACAATGTAGGCAGCAGGCTGTAGGCTGTTCTATTGACTATATTGTTTATCTTGACGTGCTGTCACTGACGTTATGAAATAAGATTGAGCTGTGACCTTTGTTGCTAAAACTTCAAAGTAGAACAAATCTTAGATATCTCTTGATGTAATTCTGTGACTTCTGCTTGTTTATAGACAAGTTCCAGGTTGTTTTCTCATCTTAACCATGGTATTTACACTGGTTTCTTTTCTCTACTGTATCCTACTTCTGGCAGAGTGGAAGTAAGCCCTTCTTTTGAAAGTGGATAATGGTTAGTGTACTAGTGTTAGTTACGTTTCCAGCTCTACAAAAGGCTGATTTGCCTATTTTTTCCCCTTCCAGTTCTTGCAGTGCATTATGGCAGTCTGAGGGCTGAAGTGCTGGACAGAAGAAGGATCATCAATCAGAGTTTTGTTTTGGAAGAAATAAACTGAACCTACAGTGAATAGTGGAAACAGTTGCAGAGCTTGGTGTCTTCCTGCCAGATGAGACGTCTGCTTTGGTCCTCTGCAGCTGTGTTGTAGTTTGCTTTTTTGTTTGTCAGTGCAGCATTCAGAGCAATAAATATATTTTTCATATTTTTGGAAAGTTTTTTTTTATATCTACCTACATTGTTCCGGACAGGTACATTTCTGTGTTAAGTTCCTGACCTTATTAAAGAATGAAGCTTGTGATGAGAAATATAGGGCCTTTTTATGTATGGCCAAATAAGTCAGACAAATAGAATATCAACATAAACTAAACTTAATCTAATGTAGGTATTTTTTCATCAGTTACTGTGTGTTCTGAACAGTTGTGGGGGTTTGGACAAACTGGATCAATAGATCTTGCTCATGACTGAAGTAAGTTTGTTGCATTTATTTGTGTGTATTTAAACTTCTTGCAAATATGTTTTCATGGTGATGTAAAGTACTGAATAATATGCTTAATGCACAAGTGCTTTTATTTGTACAATAAACTGTTCTCCAAGTCATTCTGGAGTTTGTGCTTTTATTCTTTTTTTCCTGGAGGTTTAGTATTGCAGTAGTGTTACTAACTGTATTATACAAAAACCTGTTAAACAAACAGGATTTGCTGCAATTCGTAGTAGTTATTTAAAACTTCTTTGTTTCCAAATTTACAATGCCATAAAGTTTCAGTGTATATAGAATGTAAATAATGCATAAAAGAGGCAAATCTCTCCTGTGGGAGCCTTTAATTTGGTCTATCTAATTTCCATTCCAAAGAGACTAGCCATATTCTGCATTCATTTAATAATCAATGAGCATCCCAAGGGAGCATCAAAAAAATGAAGTAGCTAGATGAAGAATTTTTTTTTTCCAAAGAATAGTGCAGTACTTTCTACTACATAGATGTATGGAGAGAGAAAAATAAAGCTTGCCACAGGGATACTTTCATGCAAGTACAAGGACCAGGACATTAGTATCCTGATAAAAACTCTGTTGTGATGATTTACATATGTGATCTATTCTGTGAATCTTGTGTTCTTTTTTTTTTTTTTTCTGTTCTTTCTATAAGCTATTTGCTGGTTAATTTCTATTTTATTTTTGAGCTTAAAAATAAATAAATGTCATGAAGAGTAGGCAGGTGTATAATTGTCTCATGGACCACTGATGCATTGAAATACATATTCTTCCCAGGAAAAAAGGAGTTTTAGATTTAGTGGTTGTATGCAGGGCTTGGATACTGTGGGAATTAATGCTCAGTAGGAATTAAGAATTGGAGGAATTTTAGCCTTTTAACAGAAGCAGCTTACTCTTGGTATGACAAGATACCATTCATTTGAGGTCTTAAAAATGTAAGGAGAAGGAAAATACCGTCTATGATATTGTTCTTAAAGTGTAAAACCAATGAGAGAGAAGTATTTTAAATTAACAGTGTCCTAATGAATTACGAACTGCTACATGTTACTCTTCAATAGAACTGGCATGGAATATATCATGCTTATGTGGGGCATTTGAGGACTGAATACAATCTTTTTTGTGGACAGATATTCTTAGCATAAAAGATAACTATAATATCGATGTCAGTAAAGTGTTGTAGAAACATCCAGAAGCCAATGGGTGGGTCTGCAGAAGCATGGCTGAAAGCTCCGAAATGCTGTTCTGCTTAAGAGCGAGCAGAGGGCAGAGGAAACAGAATCTTGTTGCATAGGCCGAGGCAGAGAGGGCACCTTGGTGAAAGTGCGGGGGCCCCCTGGACCCACTGCTCAGTGCAGGGTAAATTTTGGTAATTTGTAGTGCTGTTTCTATTGCATTTAATTCTGATTCAAACCAGTACATGAAAAGAGTCAAACCTTTAATTATTATTCACAATATTCACATCTATTCACAGCATAACAATATTTAACAAGAGAGTGTAGGAATAGGAGGGTCTATACTTTGCAGTACTAAATACAACTTTGATTCAAGCACTTGGGCCTTCCTCGCCATCACCAATGCCATCTGCCAATACTCCCTTCGCCTCCAGGCTCCTTCAGCAGTGCACAAACCGGGGGGACACAGTTTATCTGTTGCAAAAACTCAGGCATTTGCTTGAATTAGAGATGTAGCCAGAAGTCTTACAAAGCTGGGCCGCTGGTTTCTGTCCGCGAGGGGCTGCTGGAAGCTGCTGAGTCGCATTCCAGCGCAGAGGAGCGGCCTGGGCCCACCACAGGGAGGCGAGTGGGGGCTGGAGCAAGGCAGGGTGTTAGGGGAGCACAGAGGGAGGTGGCAAGCACTGCTCTGTTAAAGAGGTCCTCTCCCTGCATAGGCAGGAGCAGCCCCCCCTTTACCGATGTGCTGTGTAAGGAAGGAAGAAGAGGACCAAAAAAAGTGATTCTCTAACTAGATTAGATTAGGCCTGAGGAGGATGAATCACAGACTACAATTTTAGGTTAATTTGGTGGGGTAAATTACTTAAAACTCCTTCCTTAAGGACTGATTAAGCAGGGCCAGAGCCTGCTAAAGGTCTGAATGGCTTTATTGATACATTAAAACAGTGTATTGCACTGTATAGGGATATAACCCTTGTGTTGTTCCCAGCTTTACTTGTATAACATAGAGCCTTTTTGAGCAATTCAGAAACAGACTGGACTTCAGGGGAATGTTGTCTGGAAAAGGTGAAAATAAGAGGGATAAATTTTGCTGTTCATGAAAGTTCAAAGAGCTTGAAGCAGTGGGTCTTCGTGGTCTCACTGTATTTAGAGGGGCATGGAAGGTATCTGAGAAGACAGTTCTTTCCTCTTCAGCAGTGAAAGGACAGTTGAGTTCTCCTAACTTGTAGCTGTCATCTTATGTGTTTTGTTTCTCCACTCATTGGCAGGTGTTTAGGGAGCTTTGAATCTCCATAACTAGGCAAAGCCCCCCTTATTTGGCCCCATTTCAGGCTCTTCTGTTTGATAAATACAGACAAACAGAAGGGAATGAACTGAGGCTCTGCGTGCCAAGAAAAGCAGCACGGGAGGACGCTTCTCCTCACTCAGAGCAATGCAATGGTTGTTGCTTCTCCCCTTCCCCAAATTTTCTTCTCCAGCTCACCTGTTTTGTTCAATTTCCTGGCATAGATGTGAAGTAACAAGTGATGAAATTGGATAAAATGCATTTTTAAAAGCATTTCATTCATTATACTCATGCACATATATATATCATGCATTAATGTTCATGCATTACATTTTTCATTAGTTTTATTTACCCAAGACTGTTCTAAATCTAGCATAACAAATACTTTTTTAGAAAATTCCCTTTTTCTTGGTAAAAGATGTTCCTGTTAGTTTGTGACTGAGATTGAGGAGAAACTGTTAAATGAAACTTGCTTGCTGTTCAAACCGTCTTGCTGGTCAAACTGTCCTCCCCATCCAGAAAAGCACCAACCACCGAGCCAAACCACAGCCCTTTCCCTGTTTTTCAGCATCCCCGTTTCAATGGAGCAAGCTCAGGCAGCGATTCCAGCAGGAGCAGAGTGCAGTCCCTGAGGAGCTGCTCCTGCAAGGCACTGAGCAGCGCAGACCCCTGTCACCGCAGTATGAGTTAGAGCATCAGCAAATCGTAGGGTCTGCGTTTTGCAGGAGTCAGCACTAGCACAAGGCAGAAGAAAGTTTGGTCTTGAATGGAAAAGTCTAAATTCCTTTTCCCTTCGAAACCCGTGAAGATAATTTCTGTTCCTTCACAGACAAAGCTAAAAAAAGATAGTGTCTTGCTCAGCAGTCGCACTAAAGAAAATCTGAGGACATTCAGGCACCTTTTGTTTATCCACTGGCTTTGTATGCTGTGGAGTTATATGAATTCTTCAGATTTCCCTCCCATCCCCCCACCCCTCTATAGCATATATGTCTGTTAATGTGAAGGTCAACTACTATTGCATTGATGTATAGCACTGCTTTACAGCAGAGGCTTTTAATGTGGTTTTAGTTAAAATTTAACTGCTCACCCTCTAACTGGGTCGCATGTCAGCTTTTCTGAAATCAGTTCTCTTCCTAGAGGAATTCAACATAAAAGCTTTGTTTAAGATTAGAAAAATCATGTGAACATTTTTAAATATTTAAAAACAGCAATAAAAAGGTCAGGTCCTTTTAAAATAAACACAACATTTGAAGCAGAATAATATTTTAATAAAATTAAATCTAAGTATTCACAAAGCATTATGCACATACAGTACATACTGTATTTAAAGCCTACGGACCTTAAATCATTTTATACTAATGTAGTCAGCTTTGGACACAAGCTAAGCTTAATTGTTTTGTAATAAGAATGTTTACAATGTTCCTGACAGTGATTTTACATATATACATATATATATTTTTATATATATATATAACTCTATATCTATATTCCTACATGTAGGTGTAGGTATATACACATACATATACATATATGTGTGTATATACACATAAATATATACACACATATGTACATACACACATGCACACATACAGGAATTGAGTATGTGTCGTGTGCCTGTGTGTCTGCGTACTCCATCTTGGATCTTTGTGGAGGGACCAGTCAGTCAGAAGAGATAACTGCAAACAACAACTGTGATAATTATAAACCAAAAATTTATAAAGCATTTTTTTAATTATACAGTTTCTTAAGAATTTGTATTAAACAAAAGGAACACAGTCTTCTGCATTATATATAAATTAGATTTATTGCATTTGATTATGTGACATGAAAAATGCCTGCCTGCTCATGACAGCTAACTTCTATGATGAGAATTAAAAGAACGAAAAATAAGTACTGAAACAAACTATTCAATTAATGTGTTTCTGTGAATGTGGTATTTTCCAGGACATGGCCAAGTTTGTTCATTAAAATATTGTCCTATTTCAACAAGTTTTGAAGGATGCTGCTTTCTGTGGCTTATGAACCCAGAAGACTTTGTTACCTTATTCTTTCTCCAGATGCAGAATCGTTACCATTGACTATAAAAAGCTCACTATAACTAAATTTTCAAAAGTGAGCTAGAAGATTTTACTTAAGTTTCAGAGTAGCTTTGTCAAGTAGGAGTCTTTTCTATGTGAATTATTGTTATCAATTGATTTCTTATTTGCTCTGAAGACATACCCACAATAAAGTACTATTTCTGTGAAAGCTGTAAATGGTAATCTCCATGCAACGTAAGCTGTAATTCCAGAACATGCACATATTTAAAAAAAAATAAAAATATAAGGTGCCTTGAGAATGCTGGCAGTTTTACATTTGGAACGTACAGTTAGTGTGTCTGTGTGTGTGTGTATATATATATATTTACATCAGAAGTGCTCAATTTTACCTTACAAGCTTCAGATTTAGGAAAATATACAGTACTTTTGCATATAATGGTTAATTCCTTGTAGCCCCTGAGTCAAGTATAGAGGATTTTAATACAAAAAAAGGAAAAACAGCCATTAAAAGCACTTACATTTTTATGTGAAATAATAGTATAAAAGTACTATTTCCCAGGAAGACCAGGATCAGAAACATGCCTATGAAGACTCAAGATTCCTACAGTGCTTAGTGAAGACTCTGGCAAGGAAGGGTGCCTGATGGGATGGAGGTAAGTTGTTCTGTAGTGCTGGGGGGGACACTCCACAGCCCGCTCACGTTCTTGGTCTAAAAGAGAAGCCAGGTTGTCCTCTGATGCAGTGTTAAGATGCACTCCACTTGAGAGGGATTCTTTGGATTTAAGTTTTGATTTTTCGAGGTCTAGAAATTCAGGACACTGGAAGAGAGAAGGAACAAGGTGGCAATGTTTGAATGAGTCTCTTGCAGGTTCTTGTTTCTGCTGAAAATTAGCACATTCAGATGGTAAGCCACGTCTGAAAATGAATTAGTGTGCTGAAATATTTTTACATGGTACCATGTTTGATTTGATGTAATTGAATATGATTCTGTTTGTAACAGCCTGGGAGTTGGGTCCCCTCCTCAGACTTCTTTGTGTATCCTCAAAATATCATACAGCCTCTCTCAAGGATGGAATATTAATGCGATGCAGTCCCAGAGCATAGATTTAAACAATCTCGAGTTGTGTCCAAGTTCTACTTTTCTTTTAAGCTGGATTTTTTTTAAGTGAAAGTGTACAGCATGCCTGGTAATGCTTGCAGAGGGTTGCCATGTTTCTGTCCTCGCAGATACACGTACCTGCTTTGTGCAGGGGGGGCTGACACATCTTTCTGCACCCAATCTGATGCCCTCCAGACGCGATGCTCTTTCTCTGCCTGCATGAGTTCTGGCACATGCATGAGGAATCTGACACACACAGACACCCTGGATCTGCTTGTCACATGCTGCACGATTGATTTGGGATTTCAAGATATGCAGCAGCCTGTTAGGAAATAACATGCCCCAACTGTGGCCAGACTGTTAAACTCTCAGAATCCCAAACAAATCAGGAAAATCATGAGATTGTGTTGGAAATAAATTTTTGGGATGGAAAGCCTTTTCTTGGGAAACACTGTGGCCGCTCTAGATGAGCATATTCTCAGTGGTGGCAATTGCTTTTAGTCTCTAGCACTTGCCTGTTCTTACCACCACTGTACTGCATTGGCTGGACCTTGGTGGTCCATGAAGATGTGCCCTCTGGAAATACGGTTCCAAAGTCCACTGTAGAGTTACTAGACCAAAATGGTATTTCATGTCTTTTGAAATAGTGAATGAGCAGCCAGGTTAGTTTCCTGAAGCTAACTAGATTAAGAAACCTCTTCTGATCATATTGAACGTACCTGAGATGAAGGACTGAAACTTCTGTCTGTCTTAATGGATGCTACAGGATGAAGTTTTTGTATCACCCGGATAGCTGGTTGTTGATACTCCACACCTGCAGCCACCATGCTGTAGGCGGGGGGGATGAGTGTCGACTGCCTTTGCAGAAGCTGCAGGATGGTTTGAATATCAGCAGTCATTTGGGATTCAAGCCTAGAAAAGTAGCATAAAATCAATTAACACCTGGTCAAGAATAGGTATATTTGTATATTTTAACATACTGATTGCAGATGCATTCATGAGGGACTTGCAGCTCGTTGCTTATTATGAAATGACTGTGTCTTTCACGGGAAAGAACAGAAGAGGGAGTCCTGAGCCCTTCCAAAGCCAGCCAGGTCTCTCCTCTACAGAGCATATTCACTGCCTATCTCTGATCTTCATACATTAAGAATGCAGACACATAAAGATGAGTTCATTGCTGTTCGTTATGCGTCCAAAAAAATGAGCAAGGGGTCAACATCCTTAGCTGACGTTAGCTGGAATATCAATACTCTCCTTATTGAACCTAAAGGGATTTTTTCTTCTGGCTGAGGATGTGACAGGGGATTTCTGATGTATCTGACAATCAATTCTGACATCCCCAAAGTTAAAAGAATGAAATGAAGGGACTAGAAAACCATATTTGTCTTTTTTCACAGTTCAAAAAAGTAGGATACTTTCAAGACCATTACTTAAGAAAAATAATTAAGCTTAAGACTCTTTACAGTGAACTTTTATTCAAGTTTATTCAGACCTCAGAATTAACCTCAACATTTTTGATGTTCAGATCCTTTTTCTTTTTCTTTTTCTTTTTCTTTTTCTTTTTCTTTTTCTTTTTCTTTTTCTTTTTCTTTTTCTTTTTCTTTTTCTTTTTCTTTTTCTTTT